TGGGATACTGCCAGGACCTCGGCCTGGGGCACTGGGCAGAGCTTGGTGCACGCTGGAACAGGGGAACACTGGCGTGAGGTGTAGACCAAGGCGGGGAAGTCAGGAGAGCAGGTCGGAAGGAAGCAGCAGAAGGCCGCAGGACAAGGCCAGACGTTCCCAAAGCCACACAGACAGCGCTGGACTCGGGCCTCAGAAGCGTTAAGGCTAGAGAGCACACGTGGGCACGGGCAGCAGGGAGGAGGTAACTGGGAGAGACAGGGCTAACGGCGCTCAGACAGAGCCCCAGGGAGGAAGAGGCACCCGAAAGCACTCTGGGAACAAGCAGCCGGGGCAGCGCGAGGACAGGCAGGAGAGTCTGGGACTAAGAGAGTCGAGGCAGGATGGGTTTTCAACGTGGACTTCTGGGAGTTCTAAGAACTGGAGCTGGAGATGTGGTCTTCGGGTTTGCTGACACTGAGCGTGCTGGCTGTCTCCGCGAGAACTCTCTCACTGAGAAGTAGTGGAAACGGATACCGGAGGACGCTTCAGAAAGTTCATGACAATGCGTACTATGACACTATGACAGCACTGTGTCAGGACTTCCAAACTGTTTGCATCAGAATAAACTTACCCTTTAAAAGTCCATTTCCATGGGCTTTTTTTTTTTTTTCGATTTTACAAAATTTATTTGGGAAACACACACACACAGAGAGAGAGAGAGAGAGAGAGAGAACCCATCCACTCCCTAAATGTTCACAACACACACACACACAGAGAGAGAGAGAGAGAGAGAGAACCCATCCACTCCCTAAATGTTCACAACAGCCCCCTGGCTAGGACCGAAGCTGGGAGCCAGCAACACACACAGTCCAGGTCTCCCACATGGTGGCAGAAACCCAGTTACCTGAGCCATCACCATTGCCTCCCAGGGTCTGTATCAGCCAGAAGCTGGAATTAGGAATAAGAGCTAGGACTCAAATCCATGTGCTCCAATGTGGGATACGGGTGTCTTAAATGCTAGGCCAAGTGCCCACGCCCATCCCCAACCCTTTTGAAATATCCTTATGCATGGTGATCACAGTATCTTCTTTGTTATGATTAGGGAATATTTGAGTAAGCATAAATAAAGGGGGAAAGTTAGTATATATGTTTTTTTTTTTTTGGTTTTTTGTTACTTTTTGACAGGCAGAGTGGACAGTGAGAGAGAGAGAGAGAGAGAGAAAGGTCTTCCTTTGCTGTTGGTTCACCCTCCAACGGCCACCGCGGCCGGCGCGCTGTGGCCGGTGCACCGTGCTGATCTGATGGCAGGAGCCAGGTACTTATCCTGGTCTCCCATGGGGTGCAGGGCCCAAGCACTTGGGCCATCCTCCACTGCACTCCTGGGCCACAGCAGAGAGCTGGCCTGGAAGAGGGGCAACTGGGACAGAATCCGCCGCCCCGACCGGGACTAGAACCCGGTGTGCCGGTGCCTCAAGGCGAAGGATTAGTCTAGTGAGCCGCGGCACCGGCTAGTATATATGTTTTTTAAAGCCTGAAGAATGAGGAGATCTCATGAGGGGGCTGGCACTGTGGCGTAGAGAGTAAAGCCACCACTTGCAGTGGCGACATCCAATATGGGTGCTGGTTCAAGTCCCGGCTGCTCCACTTCTGATCCAGCTTTCTGCTATGGCCTGGGAAAGCAGTGGAAGATGGCCCAAGTTTTTGGGCCCCTGCACCTGTATGGGAGACCTGGAAGAAGCTCCTGGCTCCTGGCTTCAGATCAGCACAGCTCCAGCTGTTGTGGCCATCTGGGGAGTGAACCAGCAGATAGCAGACCTCGCTCTCGCTCTCACTCTCTCTCTCTCTCTCTCTCTGCCTCTCTGTAACTCTGCCTTTCAAATAATAAATAAATAAATCTGTAAAAAAAATGAGGAAGTTTGTAATTACTGAGACAGAGCCCTGCTACGGGCTCGTGAGTACAAGTGGAGAACCGATCAGGCTGCGGACAACATTCACATAGTATTGAGAATAAGGCTTCGTTCCTTTGGGGCCTCCAAATGAGCCTCAGAAACTCTGTGGACTCCCCTAAATATCTTTGTCAGATTTAGAAATCACTGAGTTTTCAGCATTTTTAGGGGAAGAGGGTCCGTAAGTCTCCTCAGAGTCTCGGAGGACTCCACGACCCCCAGAGAGGTTGAGACCCTATGGACGAGAAAGCTTGGTCCCCGGGCACAAAGTCTCCTGAATGTTTTCTCAGACCTCCCTCCCCCTAACCTCTCCTTTTCAAGATAAGACCCAGTGACTCAGTTACACACACGTGTCCTGCAGATGCCTTGCCTGGGAAAGGATGGCAATCCCTGGGCAAGCAAGGAGGAAAGTCCTTAGTCACGGCGCCTACCGGCTCAGTCAGCTGTGGGCAGGGGAACCCATGGAACCTGAAGGCATGCTTCCTGGCTAAAACCAATCTAGAGGCAAGTTTTAGGGGCTCCCTGGAACCCAAAAAGCTGTTTCAAAGCTGCCTGTAATTTTTCTGTCTTGCAAAGGAGCAGTGCTCGATATCCCTCTGCAGGAGAGCATGCCTTCATCCTGGGAAGACCACTCAAGGGGGCAGTGTAGTTTTGCAGATGTGAGACAAAGACCAGATTCAGAAATGGAGATACCAGAGCTCCCCACGGCCCCAGACACAACAGCGGGCAGTCTCGAGCAGTCACGTGACTGCTTCCTTCCACTGCGCTGCGGAGACAGGTGCAGTTCCGCAGTCTGTCTCCTTGGGGGTGGGGGCAGCTTTATCAGATCTGCCTTTAGAAGGGGCACTGGGATTGCTCTGGGCCTCAGGTGAGACTAGCTTTTGTGAAAAGGTGTTCTTGGAGAAGCGACTTCTCCATGTGGGACTTTTGTGAGATGCTGGGCTCACGTTGGGGACCTGCCCTGCTCCCTCAAGGAATGTCAAGAGCCAGCCCCTTTGGCCTGGCTCCCAACCTGGACCTCTGACTTCGGACATTGTCAAAGACGCGTCAGTCTTTCAAGTGGCCTTCAGAGCAGGGGTGTCTGTGCGGCAGGGCCTGCAGGCTTTGGGGACTAGGTTGCGCTTCGCAGTCTCTCCAGCAGGGGGCTCTCTGATCCCAGTGACCATGGAACTGATGGACTGTCCTCCCGCACCCCCAACAAGCCCTCTGCACACTGCACTGGTGCCATTGCCTTTGGGGCGGGGGCTGCAGAAACTGAGGGTCCTCAAGCAGCTTGTAGACAGGGGACAAGAAGGGCTTTGGGGGAACAAAAGCACCCAAGTCTGGGGAGCACCTGGGAGTGGGCCAGTGAACGTGTTAGAGCAGACCCCTTCCTCCTCCCTGACTCAGCACAGGCCCAGCCCCAAGCGAGCCCTTGCCCGCTCCTCGCTCCAGCCTGGGTGACCCGGGCACCTGCACCTGGGGAGGAGTTTCTGAAACAGTGTTACATACCAGAGGGACCCCCGCCCCCCACGACCCCAGCTCTCTGGGGGTGCTCTCACCCTCCCCTGGCTGCAGCTACTGTCTCTGGGCTGACAGTTCTCCATCTCCCGGGCCCAGAGCACCCTCCTCCCTCCAGGCCAGCATACCGCACTGCCTCCTGCAGCCCTTCCGGATGGACCACAGTTCTAACAGCGTCCTTCCTGGATACACACCCCTACCTGTTTTCCAAAGAAAATTCACACAGGCCCCACCCCCACCCTGACAAACGCACAGGACCTGGCCCAAAAGGATGTGCAGGAAAGCTCAGTCAACTACACTGAGCTCTTAACTTCCTGTTCCTGTTCAAATCATTTACCAAATTAAATTTAATGATTTATGTAATTGCTTATTTACTGTCTGTCTCTCCTGGCTCAAATTTTTAAAAAAATTTTTAAAAATTTATATTTAGTTGAGAGGGAGACAGAGGGTTCTCACATCTGCTGGCTCACTCCCCAAATGCCCACAAGGGCCTAAGGCTGAAGCCACGAGCTGGAAACACAAGCCAGGACCCCTGGATGGGTGGCAGGAATCCAGTTACTTGGACTGTCACCATTGCCTCCTAGGGTCTGCATTGGCAGGAAGCTGGAATCAGGAGCCAAAGCTGGAAAATCATTCACTTGTTGAAGGAATAAGTGGATAGCCTTGGTCATAGCCCCAAATGCAGGTCCCTGGGGCTCTTGGCCGCTTCTTGCCTTCTTACCCCAGTGAAGCTGTGCCTCACTCTCTTGTAACCAGCTTCCCATGGCCCCCTCTTCCCCACCCTTAGCCTCTTTTCGGGTGTTCTTGCTCTGGGCTGCTCCACGAAAGGAGGGTAGTGAGCCCCACTTAGGGCACCACCTACAAATGCGGGCAGTGTGTGCACCTGTCAGGGTGCCTTCCAGACGACAGTGCCCTGGATGGTGGGACACTGAGCAGTGGCAGAGGGGCACGGCAGTGTGTGGTCCTCTGCCACCTCACCCTCCACGCAGGGCCCTGGAAGATGCCAGAGGCCGCTGGAATAGGGCTGTCTCCACAGGAGGCTCTGAGTTCTGTTCCCCACAGGCAAATGCTGGGGACTGAGCAGGGGGTGGGACGGGGCCAGTGACGGTGCCAGTGCCACCCATTCTGCCTGTGCTCCATGCCTCCAGTGCCAGAGGGGCTGGCGGGGGTGCGGTTGGGGGGTGTGGAGTGGAGGCAGGGACCAGATAGGCCCGCAGCATATCAGTGGGAGGGTCCGGCCCAGACTTCCACTCAGCCATTCTACCCACTCCCCACTCCCCGCGGCCCGGGAAAGGATCTGACAAACCACAGAGGTAAATAAATAACTTAGAAGTAATAAATACGGGCCCAGGTCCCACAAGTGAGCACAAGGGCAGCTCCAGCACAGCCACCGGCGGCAACCCCAATGTGTCTGCTCCAAATCCCGGCGGCCCGCGGGCGCGGGGTTGGGCTCTGCAGGCGAGGGCTCCCAGTCCGTGGCCTGGCCAGGGCGAGTCTGAGAAGTGGACCCTCAGGTCTGCACAGCTGAGGTCTCGGGTGTCTGTAGGGCTGGGATCGGTAGGGTGATGGCCCTGATCCGCTGTCTCTCCATCTCTCCAGGGCAGGTTGGGGCCTCGGCTCTGTGGCCCAAGTCCCCAGCTGGCGGGTCCTAGGCAGCGAGAGGCGCGGGCCGGGTCCAGCGCACAAGCCCCGGGGGGCGGGGCCGGGCGGGGGCGCTCTCAGCCCAGGCAGCCGCAGGCGGTGGCGGAGAGGCGGTCCACAGTCCTCCAGGTGCTGTTCACGTCCATGAAGGAGACGGCCTCGTAGCGCGTGGGCCGGCAGCAGGGCTGGCTGACGGGCCGGGAGCCGGGCGGCGGTCGCAGGGCCCCGGCGCCCAGTAGGCTGGCCAGGCTGAGGTCGTGCGGGGAGCGCGCGCGGCGGCACGAGCCGCTGCAGAAGCGGAAGCGCACCAGCTCGTCCGAGCTGTGGCCCAAGCCCAGCGCGCGCACCGGCACCAGCTGCGAGCGCAGCCGGCAGCCCTTCGAGCCCGCGGCCTGCGCGCGGCTCCCCCGGGCTTCCGCGCGCGCCGCGCGGCCCCCACGGGGAGGCGCGGGTGGCGGCGGCGGCGGCGGCGGCGCGGGCGGCGGCGGCGCGGGCTGCGGGGGCTGCGGCCGCCGGGCTCTTCCTCCGCACGGACTGGCAGTGCGGCCCCCTGGAAGGAGACGGAGTCACGCGCGGCGTCCCAGGCCAGTCACCCCCTGCCCCGCCCCCTCGCCCTCTCACCTACCCGGCAGGTGGCCGGTGGGGGGCGCCAGGACCGGCGCGGGACTTTCGCGGGGGGCGGGGCCGAGAGAGGCCTCGGAGACGCTGCTCAGCAGGGCCAGAGCGGCCAGGGTGGGCCACAGGGCAGGCTGCGCGGGGAGAAAGAGGGCAGCCTGGTGGGCGCGGGACGGGCGAGCACGGGGCGAGCATGATGGGATTCCTGACTTCGGGAGCACAGGGCAGGGCACTGACCATGCGGAGGGAGCCTGCTCCTTCTCTCCTACTCCTGGTCCCTCCCTCCTGGCCGTTTCCCCTCTCACATCAGACCCCTGGCCAGGCCAAGTCCTGGTCCCTGCCTGATCAATACGGTGGGGGTCCCGGAGAGGCACTCACCTGCCGCCTAGGCACGAGGCAGGGGAACAGCGCCGAAGAGCCTCCGAGTCCGAGTTCCATCTCCAACAACACCAGGAGCTCCCATCAGCGTGTGTGGACCTGCTCCCCGACCCTCTCCTCGGGGCAGCTTGCAAGTTGAGAGATGAATGAATGGTTTGGGGAGTGGTGGAAGGGGGTCATCCCCCAACCTGTCTTTCTTGGTGAGGGTCAAGGGGCTGGGAGAGCTGTACCCGGCCCAGGAGGGGAGGTGGCTGCCCTGAGAGCCGGCTTGAGAGTGCTAGGTGCGGGCAACTGTCCCCTCACAGCGCGGAGGTCAATGGTTTAGTTCCTCTTCCAGAGGCGCAGACAAGGCCCCGAGATCGTCTAAGGTCACGGAGCAGGACCCGAACCGCTGGGGTGGGGTGGAGGTCCTCTCTCCCCAAAGGCTTCCTGCCCTGTGCTGCAGGGCTGAGGTTGCTCTGCTGCTGGGGACCCCGGCTCCCACGGAGGGCTGAGGGCTGCAGGGGAGGAAGCTGAGGCCGGGAGAACAAGGGCACGTGCGGGGCACCCCGACAATGATGACAGTGAGGCCCAGACCTCAGCCTGTGCTGCTGCCCCTTGCTGCTCTGGCTCTCTGTTCTGGCCCCACAGCTCCTGGAGTCCTGTCTTCGAACCACAGGTGTCCTTCAGGAGCCAGCAGATGGTGAGGGCTCACAGATGGGCCTTCTGAAAACTTGGGGCCTGAGCCGGGGCCTCCTGTGGCCACCAGGGGGCAGAGTCTGCTAAGCCTGCAGACGTCCACGTGGGGGTGGTGGGCCTTTCCATACCCTCAGCCCAGGAGGGCCAGCTAGGCCCCCACACCAGCCTGGTCTCTGAGAACTCTGCCACCCTGAGAGCTGGTCCCTGTCTGACCCCCGCTTGGCCTTGGTGGGGGGGGGGCCTGGCAGCCTCACTTTGATCCTAGTTGTGCCCTGGAGTCATCCTTATCCCAGCCAGCCTCCCCAGCCCGCCAGAGACTTCCTGACCCTCATTAGCTGGGTCCCAACTGTCACCATCTGCCCCGCCCCTTCATACACACTGGTGGCACACTTGTCCTCAGGCCTCCCCAGTATGGCTCTCTAAGGCCAGTGTGCCCCTGCTGGCTTACTGGATGCAGAGACCCCCAGAAGAGGCAGATGACTTCCCACAGATGGAAGAAAAAGGCCAGGGGAGGCGGCCCCAAGTGCCCTCTGCGCTAGGGGGAGCCCAGGAGCACATCCCTACGGGCAGCTCAGGCCCTACCTACCTACCCTCCTGGAGGTCTGCGGCCAGTAGGTCCTCCAGCCCTGGCCTGGCCCCCTTCCCCCGGCCAGCTACTCACCACAGGGGTCGGCGCCGTGTCCTCCTAGGCACCGTTCCAAGGACCAGCGCTGGGCTTTCCCCCGCAGCTCAAAAGGCTCATGCCCAGGGCTGTGCACCTGGCAGCACCTCTTCTAGCCCGAAGTGTGGCCTTGGCAGCCGGTCTGTGGCCTGCAGCGGCAGCGGGGGCCTCACATTACAGCAGGCCAGCAGGGCCAGCACAGACCCACAGGCGACTGGAGGGGCAGGGTGGGCCAGAGAGCTGCACTGGGGGCCCAGGAGGGGAAGGGAGACCGTCTGGCCCACTGCCCTCAGCCCAGGGGATCGTCCGTCCAGGGCTGGGATGAGCGGCCGCCTTACCTCGGGTGTGGGGCTCCGAGCCCGAGTCGCAGCGAGGGCTGGGGCCCGAGGGACCTGCTGCTGGCGGAGCCCGCGGGCCGTGTCTGGGGGCCGAGCCCAACTCCATCCCTCAGCAGCCTCCTGCCCGCCGCCGTCCGGTGTCAAATTCCAGCCCCGGCGTCACCGGATCCCTGGGTGGGGCCCGGAGCGCCCCCGCCCCGCCCCACCTTGCAGGGCTCACCTGGCCACTCCACCCGCCGGCTCCGGTCCTCCTGGGGCTCAGCTAGGAGCCCCGAGGTTGGGGGTGGGCCCTGGGCAAGGACCCCGGATGCAGAATGGAGAGCGCGGGGCGGCGGCGAGGCGCGGAAACTGGGAGTTCAGAGTTGGTAGACACGCGAAGTAGAGAACTCGAGCGGCGAGCCGCCCCGCGCCCCGAGCGGAGCCTGGGGCCCGAGGGCCGGGCCGGTCCCTGCCTCGGCCGCCGCCCGCTGGGACTCGTAGAACGGCGGGTCCCGCTCTCGGCCCCGCCGCTGCACCCGACGCGGCCCGGCATTCGGCCCTCAGGGCCCCAACTCAGCTCGGGTCGCCTCGCCGCTCACCTCTCGAGCTGCCCGGGGAACTGGAGGAGGGACCCACATGCAAACCCACCATCCCTGCGCACCGAGGGCGGAGCTGTGGAAGTGGGTGCCCCGGGCCGGAGAAGGGGAGAGTCGCAGAGGAGGAACATTTGAGCTGAGGCTTGAAGCAGGAGCCGGAGGGTAGCATTTCAGACTTAACTGTGGCCGTCCCGCAGGTGGGGTGGGGGCGGGGAAACAGTGTGCCGAGGTTGGCCGTGGTCCCGGGGCCCCGGAAGGGTTTTGAGCTGAACGGTGCGTTCTGAGGGGTGGTTCTGGCTGTAGTGGGAGGCTGGCTTGGAGACAGAGGAGCGGGTGTAGCCACTGTTGGGAGGCGGCTGGGGCTGTGGGCAGAGCCTGGGGCTGCACTGGCTGCAGAAAAAACTCATTAGAGCCTGAACTGCAGGGGGCAGAGGACGGAGGCCTAAGGTGTGCTTTTGGCCCTGGTGTTTGGGCGAAAGGGGTGCATCCTGGGAGCTGGGGCCCCCTGGCTCAAGAGTTCAGGGTTGGAATGCTGGGTTGCAGGTGAATTTGTAGCCTGGTGCAAAGTGGAGAGGTGGGCTGGCAATGGCGATTTGGAAACAACTAGGAGCTGTGGGAGCGGATGTGAGGGCCAGGGGAACGTGTGGGGACCAGCTGGACCCTGGCTATGACTTTCCCAAACTACCCGCACCCGGCCACCACAGAACTCAGTCAGAATCTTGCGGTGGTCCAAATCTGCACAGGTGATTCTGAGGTTTGGCCAGGGCTCAGAACTGCAGCTGTGATGAGAGCAGCTTCGTGCGGATGGGGGCAGGACGAGAGGTCTGATGGCAGGAAACTGCTGGCAGTGATGGGAGGCCCGGCTCCGCGCGGCCCCCAGGGTGAGCCGCTTGCTCTGTCGCCTCCTCCCACCTCCCACAGCCAGCGGCCACCGGCTTCCCTGGGACTCCCTTCAGCCTAGGGCTGCACGGGCTGCATCCAGAGTACACCCTGAACTGCAGGGACCAAAGGTGTGCTTTTGGCCCTGGTGTCTGGGTGCAGAGGGTGTATCTTGGGAGCTGGGGCCCCCTGGGAGAGGGGCAGGAGCATCTCTGGGGCGTGCCACCCCAGGAGGTGGAGGCGTGTGTGCGTGGCTGGGCCCCGACCCCCTCAGCTGGCAGTCACAGGGTGTGGAAGCTGCTGGTCCTAGGTGTAGCCAGGACCCCCTGTCCTTAGGGCTCACCAGTGGGAGTGCCTGGAGCTGCCTGGACCCCTTGGGTGGGGTAGGCAGGAGAGAGGTGCAGGCGCCAGCTGTCCCGCTTGCTGCCAGGGCAGGAGTGTCTGGCAGGAAGCTCACGCCATGTTCTCAAGGGCAGGTGTAAGATGTACAGTCTTTGGCCTGACCAGGGCTGGGGGTGGGAGAAGAGGGGTGAGGAAGGGAGGGATCAGATTCTTGGGCTCTAAGGGGGTAAGGTGTGACACTTCCCAGGGATGCCTAGAGCTGGGCTGTGTGCCTTCCTGTTCTGTTCCATGCAGGAGGGGGCAGAGGGGAGAGGGGGTGCCCTTTCTAGAGCATAGCTGGGTACTGCGGCAAGGGAGGGGAAGGTCTGGGGGCCTCTGTGCAGGGGGTGGGGGGCCCCTTCTGTGTTTGCAGAGCCGCGGCTGTGGAGACCCACAGGCTGCGTCCTAGGGCTGTGGGCGTCAAAGCCCTGGCTCCGCCAGGAGGTACTGGGAGCTCCGGGGTGTGCATGGTGCCTCTGGTCAGTCTCTCTTAAGGCAGGGAATACAGGACTATGGGGCACAGAGGCCTCCAGGAGGCCACCCAGGTCCTGTAGCTGACCCGGGCAGGCCTGTGGGCTGAAGAGAAGGCCCTTGGGGTTAGCGCAGTGCTGAGTCCTCGGGTTCCTGTTTTCAGGGAATCAGAGAAAGCAGGAGGAGGCCAGCATCAGGGAAGAGCTTTATTGCTTCCACGAGGGCTGCCTGGGCTGCCACAGCCTGGGAAGAGCCTTGTGCCTCGCTTCCCTCTGGTCCGGGCTAAGGCAGAACTGGACAACGTGGCTGTCTCATTGCTGAACCCAGACGTTTCACAAGCCGGTCAGCCCGGGCCCAGGGCCCCGTCCTGTGGATCAGCGCAGCTGGGGGTGGGCAGCCATCCCCCAAAGGCTGGGAGGGGCCTCGCCTACTGCACTTCAAGATTCTTTGCTCCAGCCCGGGGGCTGCCCTGGTGGCTCCCAAGGGATGGCTCTAGCGTTTCCCCTCCCACTGGCCAATAAAGGCCAGAGTGCCATGAGCTGGAGGGCCCTGGCATGAGATCCTGCCCACCGCCCCGTGGCCTGCCGCAGGGTACAGGCCGGTCATGGCACTCCTCCCTTACAGGAGGGGGCTTACTGGTACCACTGCCTGAGGGGCCCTCTTGGGGGAGGGGCCTCTTTTTGCACAGAGAGTGGACTGTATTTGACATCTCCAACCTTATTTAAAAATAAATTATCCCTCCCCTCCCCCCACCCAAATTCACAAAAATGATAATACACCAAACACTGATTGGAGAAACGATTCTGGCAGCAGCCCTGCTGCCCAATGTCCCACCTCCTGCATGCTGGGCCTGCTGGGCACAGCCAGTGGCCTCCTGGCCTCTGGCTTCAAGGACCCAGGCTGGCAGGGAGGCTGAGTGCTGGCCTCAGAGGCTGCCCCGCCAAGGCCTCTGCACCCCGGGGCTCTTGGCACTGTCCGTTGCTGGGTCTGAAGTCTCCTGTGCTGGCGGCGGCCGCTGCTGCTTGTTCCTGGTAGGGTCTGGCCTCGGTGGCCACATCAGATGCCGCTGCTAAGGTCCGTGATGACATGCGCTCTCACCAGCTTCCGTAGGAACTCCTTTTCTCGCTGGATATTGTGCGTCCAGGACTGGAAGGGAAGACGGAGAAGCGGTCAGGTGGGCCGCCCGGGGACTTCGGTGGCCTCTTCCAGTCACTACCCACTGGTGCTGACCACGGAAATGGGGGATCGGGGGCAGACGCTCGCAGGCAGTGGGGCCTGCGAGATCTCGAGGCCCCCTACTCTGCCCCTGCTGCTTGCCGCTTTTCCTTCTTCCAAGATTTGGAGAAACTAACCTCGTAGCTGGCTCCTTGCCCCAGCAGAACCACCTCTCCTGACCTCTCCCAAGTCTTGGAGGAAGGACCCTGCGCCTTCTGACTCCAGCCCTGGTCTGGTCCCCGGAGGGCAGGGTGAGTCCTGTGCACCCTGCGGCACAGGGGCTGAGCCCTTCTCTGGCCTGACACAGATCTCATCAGCTCTCCTGGCCTGGGCAGCTAACGAAATCCTGCTTCCCAGATCAAGAGCCAGGGGCCCGAGAAGAAGAGGCGGATCCTCGGTCAACATTTTTCTTTTTCATAGGCAAGTAATAATTGTATGTACTGATGGAGTGCAATGTATGCATACCGTGTGGAATAATTAAATCAAGCTGTTTAATACAGCCATCACCTCACATATGTATTTTGTGTAGTGAGAATGTCTGACAACCATTAATAACACTGTGTTGTAGATTTCACAATTGCTACGAGGCCAGTCTTATTGACAGTACGGGAATTACAAGGAAGAGGCTACCTTCCAGGGCTTTCCTGGTCTAGGACAGGGTTCTTTCTTTTTAAAGATGTGTTTATTTATTAGAAGGGCAGAGTGACAAGGAGACAGAGAGAGAGGGAGATCTTCCATCCACTGGTTTACATCCCAAATGGCTGCAGTGGCCAGAGCTGGGCCAGGCCGAAGCCAGGAGCCTGTAACTCCATCTAGGTCTCCCACATGGGTTCAGGAGGCCCAAGCACTTGGACCATCAGGGAGCTGGATGGAAGTGCGGCAGACAGAACTTGAACAAGCGCTCTGATATGGCGTGCTGGAGCTGCACCTGCTTCGCATCCCCAGTCCTCTCACCAGGAAGCTCTGAGGACTCTCAGATAATGGAAAAGGCTCCTCCACTGAACGAATGAAGGAATGAATGTCGGGCCCTGCTGGCGTGGCCCCCGCCGGCCTCCCTGCTGCATTTGTTGGGTTGAGCCACGGTAACTGTGTTCACAGCCACATTTACTGGCTTGCCCACCCCTTATTCTGACCCAGTCAACCCTCTCCAACCTTCTAGACCTTTCCAAATCCGGATGTCAGGCACTCTTATGCAAAATTCCTCTGCTGTGAACAGCCCCTTCAATGTCCTGTGCTGACCACATGCTCAGTCGTAGCGCCCCCAGGCCCCCACTCAGGCAGTGGCCGTTTCTTCCTTGAACTCTGCCGCCTGCCTCTCCACGCTCTCTGCACACCTGCGGCTCTGCCTTCTGTCTGGTGCAGACCCGGGGTGATTCACCCCTGGTTTGTGACGACTCAGGCCTCTGGCTCATCATCTTTCTTTGAGGGCAGGGATTGTTGGGCACAGAGTAGGTGCTCAGGAAGTATCTGTTGAATGAAACTAAATGTTATTGGAAAAGAAGCAGGCTGGGAGGAATGGCAGGGCCACGATTCACTTAGCCCACACCGTCACCTCTCCCCTGAGGGAGAAGGAACCCAATGCACCTGCCAGGAGTCACTGAGGGTTTGAAGTGTCAGGCAGGGCCGGCGCCGCGGCTCACTTGGCTGATTGTCTGCCTGCGGCGCCGGCACCCCGGGTTCTAGTCCTGGTTGGGGCGCCGGATTCTGTCCTGGTTGCTCCTCTTCCAGTCCAGCTCTCTGCTGTGGCCCGGGAAGGCAGTGAAGGATGGCCCAAGTGCTTGGGTCCCTGCACCCGCATGGGAGACCAGGAGGAAGCACCTGGCTCCTAGCTTCACATGGGCGCAGCACACTGGCCGTAGTGGCCATTTGGGGGGTGAACCAGTGGAAAGAAGACCTTTCTCTCTAACTTTGCCTGTCAAAAACAACAACAACAACAACAACAACAAAACAGCGCTGCGGCTCACTAAGCTAATCCTCCGCCTGCGGCACCAGTACCCCAGGTTCTAGTCCCGGTTGGGGCACCGGATTCTGTCCCAGTTGCTCCTCTTCCTGTCTAGCTCTCTGCTGTGGCCCAGGAGTGCAGTGGAGGATGGCCCAAGTCCTTGGGCCCTGCACCCACATGGGAGACCAGGAGAAGCACCTGGCTCCTGGCTTCGGATCAGCACAGTGCGCTGGCCATTGGGGGCTGAACCAACAGAAGACCTTTCTCTCTGTCTCTCTCTCTCACTGTCTACTCTGCCTGTCCAAAAAAAAAAAAAAAAAAAAAAAAAAAAAAGTAAGTTTGAGGCAGGAAGTCAGAAATGAGCCTGTGTGTATGAAACAAAAGCATCTGCAGCAGCTCCCCTTGGAAGCAGCCCAGTGCTTCACACTACGAAGTCCTGCCTGTACCCCGATAACTTCACAGGTGGTCTCAGCCTTCCCCCCAAAGAAAGCTCCCCAGGGGTCCTCTCCTCAGCACCCAATGGGTTACCTGGCCTGATAACACTGGGCAATGAAACCTTCCCAAGGGGAAGCTCCTCTTCCACAGGGCACTTCAGGTGGGCCCCCAGGCTGACAGCACTGAGCAGTGAAACCTTGGGAGGAATTTCACCCAATTCACACCCAGCAAACCTTCTGTCCAGGAGGAGGGGGAGGGGAAGGACTGGACCCTGTGCCCTTATAAGCCCCAGGCTGAATGCAGACCGCGTGCTCAGCGCTCAGCCCGTTCCTGCGCCGCCCGCCTGGCCTGCAGGTGTTTTCTCTCCATTGACCGTGTAACCTCGCCTTCCCAAGCAGGAGTGACTGGGCACTCTCGGATTCTGTCCCATCCGTTCCGACGGATGCTGCCTTGCTTACCACTGCTCGCTGTCTCACGTCTGAATCCTTTCCTGCACAAAGACAAGAACCTGTTCCACCCAGCTGCACTAACGAACGCTCAGCAGATGACTGGGTGTTTGATGATGTTAAGGAATTACCATTAAAGATGTGATAAAACGTACAGTCCTTGTCTGTTAGAGACACTTCGTGAAGTATTTGTGACTGGAACGAGATCGTGGCTGAGACCTATTTCCAAGACACCGGTGGCGTGGGGAGCAGGAGAGGAGGAACATGGGGGCTGTGTTGACCGTGTGTTGGTAACTGCGGAGAGAGGGTGACGGGCACCTGGGAATTATGTTGTCCTCTACATTGATGGTCAGCCCACTGATGGTCAGGGGGTGGCTCTCCTGCTCTTTTCCTAACTCCCCCTCCAGGCAGACAGGGTTTCATCTCCGGGAGCTCTGGCTATGGGCTGGGGCAGGGTTCTAGTACGCTGGCTCCGCAGTCTCCCTGCATAGCCCCTGCCTTCAGGAGGGCTGCCCCTCGCCCAGCTGTCAACACTGCCCTTCTGCCTCCTTCCTCTCTGCCCTCTCTCTGGGCAGTCCCAGGAGCGCCCTCCCTGGGTCTGAACGAATGGCTGTGCTCACAACTCACACCTCCGTTCCCAGGCCAGACTCCTGTCCCAGCCCCCTTCACCCTCCAGCTGCTGCCCTGCCTCCCTGCCCCCTTCTCTCCCAGGCGTCCTTGTCTGCAAGGGCCTCTGCCTGCCGCTCCCCATTCTCGGAGGCTGTGGCCACGGGCTTCTGTGCTGGGGACACTCCCTTCTCAAAGTGCTGCTCCTTTGGTCTCCATGATGCTGCACCTTCCTGATTCTTCTCTGCTCCTATTTTCTTTGAGTTCCTGTGCCATTTCCTCCTCATGCCCAGCCTTCAGTCCCCACACCCCCCACACTCCTGCTGGGCCTGGGGAGATGAACAAGGTGAGGCAGTGGGAGGCCAGGGCCCTCAGTGGTTCCCTGAGCAGAGATTCTAAACCCAGGCAGCAGCATTTGCAGTGAATGTCATCCAGGGGCTCGGTGGATAACAGAGACAGGTGGGGCTATCATCTATGAGTGCTTCCTATGTGCCAGAGCCTTTTTCTCTTTTTTTTTTTTTTCTAAACTCATTACTATGTCCCATCTCCCCCAAACTCCAGGAGGTGGGTGCTGTTCTTGTCCCCATCACAGATAAGGAAGGCAAGGTCAGGTCGGGAGCCAGGCTCTGACCCGAGCACCCAGACCCAGGCCGCTTGACTTCAGAACCTATGTGCTCTGCAGAGCTGTGTGTGTGGGATGACGCAGTAGGTATGTGAGCCCCAGAGCCACAAGGTTGTCGTGATGGTGAAACCAGAGATGTGACAGGTAGGAGGAAAGGGGCAGGGTCAGAGACAGCGTGGGGCAGCTGGTGCCCTTCCAGTTCTTCCCTGGCGTCTAATGTCCTGCTTCTTGCCTGTCTTCTCATCACCACGGCCAAGGGTCTGGTTCAGGAATTACCTCTTGCTTTGACTGCTGCCTCCCAACTCGTTTTTGTTCCTGTCATAACCCCCTCCTCTTCACCGTGCAGCCCCACTGGCCCTACTCCATGCTATCTGCAGCCCAAAACTCCCCCAGGCCTGCCTGTGCCTTCAGCATCAAGTCCAAACTCCCTATAGCAGCATACAAAGCTCTTTATGATCCTGCTATGCCTGTATTTCCAGCTCTTTCTTTTTTGTTTAAAAATTTATTTATTTATTTGGAAGGCAGAGTTACAGAGAGGCAGAGAGAGAGAGGTCTTCCATCCGCTGGTTCACTCCCCAATTGGTTGCAACAGCCAGAGCTGAGCTGATCTGAAGCTAGGAGCCAGGAGCTTCTTCAGGGTCTCCCATGTGGGTGCAGGGGCCCAAGGACTTGGGCCATCTTCTACTGCTATCCCAGGCTATAGCAGAGAGCTGGATCAGAAGTGGAGCAGCCAGGACCAGAACCTGCACCCGTGTGGGATGATGGCACTGCAGGTGGTGGCTTTACCTGCTTATGCCATAGCACTGACTCCCTAGCTTTCACATTCTGCCTAAAACTTCTACTTAAGTATTTTTCCTTTACAATTATTTATTTATTTTTGTTTTATTTGAAGGGCAGAGAGACAGATGGATAGAGATCTTCCATTCACTGGTTCACTCCCCACATGTGTGCAACAGCTGGGGCTGGGTCAGGTTGAAGGCAGGAGCCTGGACTCTATCCAGGTTTCCCAAGTGGGTGGCAGGGACTCAAGTACTTGAGTCACGCTTGCTGCCTCCCAGGATGTGACCAGCAGGAAGCCGGATCAGAAGCAGAGCGGCTGGGACTCAAACAAGGCACGCCCATGTGAGATGTGGGCATCCCAGTGGTGACTTCAATGCTGCACCACACACCTGTCCTCACCTAAAGCTTTTATACAGAATTCACATGAAAGGAGTATGTGAGAGGGGTGGGCGTGTGGTGTGAACCAGCAGATGAAAGAGCTCTTTCCAATAAACTAATAGAAATTACAAATCCAGAAGGAATAAGTCAGAGAACAAAGATAAAATAGAAACCAGGAGGCAGAGATAAGCTGTGGGAGCAGTTTGGAGTGGGTGCTGGCAGGGGACAAAGAAGCAAGAAGATGCTGGCAAACCCACTACTGGAAGAACGTCCATGTCTACCCGGAACTCAGCCACCGAAGCTTAACTCCCAAAGGCAGAGCCCTCAGTGGGCGGGATTAGCGCCCTCCCAGGGGGGACTGCAGAGGGCTCCCAGACCTTCGTCTGTCTTGGTGGAGCAGCCGCAGCCAGCAGATGGCTGTCTACGAACCAGGTACCCTACGTGCCGGCACGTTGGTCTTGCATTTCCCAGCCTTTGGGGCTGTGGGACGTGAGTTTCTGTCGTCTGCGGCATTGTGAGAGCAGGCCGCATAGACCAAGACCAAACCAAAAAGCTCAGTTCAGGGTGGATGATAATGGAGGCCTTGGGTGGGATGCCAGTCTCTCGGGGAAGGTGCCGGTAAGCAGGGCAGGTAGGCTGGGGTGGAGCCTCGGCTGCTGCTGCTGCTGCTTCCCAAAGGGGAGCGTGGACACTGCGAGAGACTGAGAGGGGAGGGTGCACAGGCCAACCCGAGACATCTGGGCGGGAGGAGTTCAGGGACCCGTCCACTGCATTTGCAGCCGTGAGGTAGGTCACTGGGGACCTTGGAGGCAGTGGTGACAAGTCAGGGGAGCCAGGCTGTGGAGGGGCAAAGGCAAGCAGAGCACACAGGGGCCTGCATTGTGGGTGGGGCGGAAGCAGGTGGAGTGGAAGGCTCTGGCCCAGGGCAGTGTGGGGCAGGCAGAGAGACAGGGAGCAGGAAGGAGCCAGCCGAGACCACAGCCTGGGTTTATGAGCACTGGGGGTTTGCACAGATGGGCTGCTTCCACCAACGGCCTCAGTCACCAACACGGGGCGGAGGAGCAGAGGCTTCCAGCCTCAGGCTGGGATCCGCGGGGGGCGCGGTGGCAGGCACCAAGGTGTGGAAGAGGGCTCTGATTTCCCAGCTGGGATCTGCACTGTGCAGGGAGATGCAGGAGCTGGGAGCATTGCACAGAGGCCACCTGCGTGACCAGGGGAAGGTGGAGGAGGCCCCGGGGCCCTTCGGGGGTCCGAGAGGCTGTGCTCCTTCAGGGTCGGGTGAGGGGCAGGGAGGTCCTCTGGGGAAGGCAGGACCTGCAGGTTGAGGGTGACCCTGGGTTGGTGCCCACACTCGGGTATGGTGGCTGGGAGCGCAGTGAGGGGGAGAATGGCAGTGGTGGTGGGGGGAGAGGCATGGGGTAAAAGTCCAGGGCAGAGGCTGAGGAAGGGGATGCCAGGTTCAGCGCTGGGTGGGGGAAGGGCTAGGGAGATGGGCACGTAGGGTGCCAGTGGCCAGAGGCCTGTGTGCGGGATGGACCTGCCTGGAACCCACTTAGTTGAGGGTGGGGCAAGCCTCGCTGGGAAGCTCTGCAGGGCACGTTCCGGCCTCTGTGCCTGCAGCCCCCTCCCCTGGCCGTGCCCAGGACCCGCCCCCCATGCCCAGCCCCGAACCTCTTTGATGGCGGCCATGCGCACGGTCTCGTAGTAGTGCAGGGGTGCGTTGGGGTTGCTCATGTCATAGCCAAAGCCAGCGACAGCCACCTCATCACAGCCGTGTAGCGCCATGGTCACTGCCACGCTGCCAAGGGTCGGGATGTTCTGGACGAAGGGAGGAGAGCAGGCGTGAGACAGCAGCTGCGGGAGGGCTGAGCCCTCAGCTGGGCCCCTGGGGCCACGTGCCCTTCCCAAGGCCTGAGCTCTCCGCCCACGTGGCCGCCCCAGGCCCTTCTCCCTTCCCAAGACACCGCCAGCCAGCTCTCCTGTTCCCTCTCGCGGGAGCCCGGGACTCACCCCCCGGCCCATGAGGCCGTTGTTGAAGGGCAGCCCGATGAGGGTGAAGGCGGCCTCCTGGATGAAATACGGGTTGAGGATGCGAATCTCGGGGGGCTCCTTGGGCACCCGGGTGGCCACAGACTTCCAGAAGCCGTCCGATGCACTCTGTGGACCCGGCACAAGAGGGCATGAGCTGGGCACACAGCTGGAGAGGGGACTGGGTGGGTGGCAGGGTCCAAGGTGTATTGGGGCAAATACTCAAAGAATGAGGTGAGGGGCATGAGGTGTCCACGGGGCACTGGGGCCTGTGGTGGGGACACGGGATGTGACATGGAAGACACAAAGGGTGCTGCAGGGCAGGGGACACTGTCCGGAGTGCTGCTGCTCTGGCCTGAGGGGCTCTTGGGCCAACAGGAAGACTTGGGGGTCCTGCTGTCCCACCACCGCCCACCCCGCAGCAGCTCAGGGCCCACCAGGGACTTGCCCCCTCTCCTATCTCCTCTGCTGGCTCACTCCGGGCCCTCTGCTGCCTCTCAGTCAACTGGTCTAAGTGAGCCTGAAAAACACAGCGAGGGTGTGAGCCAGGATGGCACGGCACAGCCACACACACACACTTGGTCTGCTGGAGACTACAGCTGGGGGACAAGCTCTCTGGGTTTCTCCAACTCTAAAATGGGATCGTTCTGCCCTTGGAGAATGTGGCGCCATGCTGGAGAGGCACCGGCCCTGAAACCTGACGCCCATGTCCATTCCAGGGCCAGGGCTTCCTCGCATACAGCACAGGAACGACTCTCTGGTCTGCTGTTCAGTACGTAAGCCCTTCCTGGCCAGGACCTGAAGGCAATCATTTGGACTACTCTCTATCACTAGCTCCCTCAGCACCTTGCCCTGGGCCTTCTACTGCCCTCTGCAGGGAGACCCCAAACTTGGGGATGAATCCCTTCCTCCCATTTCCCACAGATACCACTAGGCTCCTGAGCCGGCGCTGTAGCAAAGCCGCAGCCCCACCCCTCAGGCATCACCAAGCCGTGGGCCCTAACCACAGTGTTACTTCCAGTGGGGTTGTTATTTGTCCAGAAAACTTAAAAAGAATCAATTGAACTTAGCACATATACAACAATGTAGTATACCTGAAACAACACAAGAGAAGTCCCATTTACAACCACACCAAAAAACAAAGAATTTCTAAGCAATCAACTTAGAGAGATATGTGAGATCTACAGGAACAAAACTATATAATCCTTTATGGAGAGATACAAAAACATGACTTAAGGAAGTGGGGGCGGCACTGAGTGCAGCTGTTAAGATGCGGCTTCGGATGACAGCTGTATCTGAATGCCTGGGTTCGAGTCCCGGCTCTGTTCTTACACCAGCCTCCTGCTAATGTGCGTCCTGGAGGGCAGCAGATGATGGCTCAAGCACTTGGGTCCCCGCTGCCTTGAGCTCCTTAGCTCCTGGCTTTGGCCTGGCCCATTTCCAGCCATCGCAGGCATCTGGGAGGGAACCAGTGGTTGGAATATCTGTTTGCCTTTCAAATAAACATAAATTTAAAATAGTAAGATATTATCTTTTAATCCACTAAAATACGCATGTGGGTGTGTTTGTGTATACACTGCTATAGGAGCAAAATTTGGTCTAGACATTCTAAAAAGAGATCTGACAGTGTGTATTAAAAGCTTCAAAGCTGTTTACACCTTATGCCCCCAAAGTTTCCTTTCTGAAAGTAATCAGAGTGGTAAAGACTTTTATAAAAAGTTCTTCAGTGGCACAGTGAGCAAAGCTGCCGCCTGCAGTGCCCAAATCCCATATGGGCGCTGGTTTGAGTCCCGGCTCCTCCACCTCTGATCCAGCTCTCTGCTGTAGCCTGGGAAGGGAGTAGAAGATGGCCCAAGTCCTTGGGCCCCTGCACCCACGTGGGAGAACTGGAAAAAAGCCCCTGGCTTTGGATGGGCCCAGCTCTAGCCATTGCGGTCATTTGGGGTATGAATCAGTGGATGGAAGATTTCTCTCTCTCTCTCTGCCTCTCTTCTCTCCATGTAACTCTGACTTTAAAATAACTAAATAAATCTTGTTTAAAAAAAGCTCTTTATCATATTCTTATTTATAAAAGTGAAAAAAAAAAACACATAAAAAATCCAAAAGTTTACAACAGAGGTTTGGTTACATGACACATGAAACATCAGTATGTCAGAATTCTGCCACACGGATGTCCCATAATTCATGTGACAGTCTTCTGTTGGCAGCCATCTAGATCATTGCTAGTGCCCCCAGTCAGCTCCTGTCCACTTCCGAACTGAAAGCCTGGAGATGAACTCTGGATTCTCCTCCTCTTCCTCCACCTCTCCAGTGCCTACTGATCCTCTGGTTCTTTTGATTCCATAGAGGACTTCAAGAAGCTCCCACGGTGGGCTGGGATCGTGGCACAGCGGGTTAAGCCACTGCTTGAAAAGCCATCATCCCATACTGGAGTGCCAGTTCAAGTCCCAGCTGTTCTCTCTCTCTCTCTCTTTTTAAACAGTTCTTTCCTTCATGAAGATTATACTTTTTTTTTTAAAGATTTATTGATTTATTTGAAAGGCAGAATTCCAGAGAGGCAGAGGCAGAGAGCGAGAGAGAGGTCTTCCATCCATTGGTTTACTCCCCAGATGGCTGCAATGGCTGGAGCTGCGCTGATCCGAAGCCAGGAGCCAATAGCTTCTTCCAGGTCTCTAAAGTGGGTGCAGGGGCCAAAGGACTTGGGCCATCTTCTACTGCTTTCCCAAGCCACAGCAGAGATCTGGATCAGAAGTGGAGCAGCCGGGGCTCGAACCAGTGCCCATGTGGGATACTGGCACTACAGGCAGCAGCTTTACCTGCTACGCCACAGCACCGGCCCCTGCTCTGCTTCTGATACAGTTCCCTGCTAATTTGCCTGGGACGGCAGCAGATTATGGCCCAAGTGCTTGGGTCCCTGCCAACAGCCACATGAGAGACCCAGATGGAGGCTCTGGCCCCTGGCTCCAGCTTGGTGCAGCCGTGGCTGCTGCAGCCCTTTGGGGAGTGAACCAGCTGACAGAAGACCTTTCTTGCTCTCTGTCTCTCCCTCTATCTCTGACAATCTTTCAAATAATAAATAAATAAATCTTTAAAAAGTTAATTGAAAATGGAATTAAGATATTTTGGTGCAAAAAAGCTCCTGGAACTGGCCTGGCTAAGCCTTGGCCACAGAGGCCATCTGGGGAGTGAAACAGCAGATGGAAGATCTCTTTTTCTTGGGTTCTCTCTCTTTTGAAAAGAACTCCAACTTGCAAAATAAAGCAATCTTTAAAAAAAAACTATTAAAGAAAAGGAAATCCATGCATACAAAGGGTCCTCAAAAAGTTCATGAAAAATGTACACTATGGGGCCAGCGCTGTGGCACAGCCAGTAGTAAAGCCACTGCCTGTGACACTGACATCCCATGTGGGTGCCAGTTCAAGTCCTGGCTGCTTCACTTCTGATCCAGCTCTCTGCTAAAAGCCTTGGGCCCCTGCACTTACATGGGAGACCTGGATGAGGCTCCTGGATCCTGGCTTTGGCCTGGCCCAGCCATGGCTGTTGTGGCCATTTGGGGAGTGAGACAGAGGATGCAGGATCTCTCTCTCTCTCTCTGCTTGTCCTCTGTCTTTCAAATAAATAAAATAATTTTTAAAATGTTACATTACAATTTATGGATTTAGAGCACCTGGCTCAACACCCAAAGAGTGACTGGAACACACTCAGTAAGTTTGTGGATTCCATCCATTGACTCAGCAGGTGTGGAATGAGTGCCTCGAAGGGGCTGCCTCTGCCTCCCTAACCAAGATGGCTGAGTACCAACAGATCACCCACCACCACCGCCCACAGCAGATCAGAGCTTGGGGGCCAGCAAGCCCCGTCTGTCTGACTCGCAGGTTTCAGTGGCAGCCCATGTGAAGTCCCCACTTGCTAATTCAGGCCTCCAGGCTTCCGCTGATGCCGCCTGCCTCTAACACCCTACCTAGCAGCTGCTTCTGCCCCTGTCTCTCTGGACCCCACATTCCTAGACAGAACTGATCTCCCACCCTTGAAAGGGGATAAAATACAAAGGTGAGATCCTTGGTCCTGGGATTCAACTTTTTTTTTAAAAACATTTAAAAAAATTTTTTTTTTAATTTATTTGACAGGTAGAGTTTTAGACAGTGAGAAAGACAGAAAGGTCTTCCTTGCATTGGTTCACCTCCCAAATGGCCGCCACAGCCAGCGCTGCGCCGATCCGAAGCCAGGAGCCAGGCACTTCCTCCTGGTCTCCCATGCGGGTGCAGGGCCCAAGCACTTGGGCCATCCTCCACTGCCCTCCCGGGCCACAGCAGAGAGATGGACTGGAAGAGGAGCAGCTGGGACTAGAACTGGGATTCAACTTAAGCTCTGGTCACTCACTGTGGAGACCCTGGGCAAGGAACATACCATCTCCTTATGGACCAAGAAAGGCTATGGTTGGCCTTTACTTTATGGATTGGTGTGAACACTAAATGAGATAACGCAGGCTGAGTGCACATAGCAGTGTGCTGCAACCCTCTGTCCTATGGGGCAGGGGCTCACTTAGGATTCATTTCTGCTACCCAGGGCCCAGCCCAGCAGGGCAGCAAGTGCTCACTAAAGGAAAAATGACAGGGCAGGTGTTGTGGCACAGGGAGCTAAGCAGCCACCTGTGATGCTATAGCATCCAATATAGGTGCTGGTTCTGGTCTCACTGCTATGCTTCTGATACAGCTCCCTGCTAATGGCCTGGGAAAGCAGCAGAACGTGGCCCAAGTCTTTGGGCCCTTGGCCGGCGCCGCGGCTCACTAGGCTAATCCTCCGCCTAGCGGCGCCGGCACACCGGGTTCTAGTCCCGGTCGGGGCGCCGGATTCTGTCCCGGTTGCCCCTCTTCCAGGCCAGCCCTCTGCTGTGGCCAGGGAGTGCAGTGGAGGATGGCCCAGGTGCTTGGGCCCTGCACCCCATGGGAGACCAGGAAAAGCACCTGGCTCCTGGCTCCTGCCATTGGATCAGCGCGGTGCGCCGGCTGCAGCGCGCCGACCACGGCGGCCATTGGAGGGTGAACCAACGGCAAAAGGAAGACCTTTCTCTCTGTCTCTCTCTCTCACTGTCCACTCTGCCTGTCAAAAAAAAAAAAAAAAAAAAAGAA